CAAGATGGAGAAAGGGGTTTATGAGAGGAACAGCCCATGCAATTCACGTCTGTCTCCCCAGGTGAGTCTGGGAAGCCTTCCCTCCTGAGCCAGCAGGGACCCATTGTGGCCTCTTGACAGAGCCTAACCCTCCAGTGTCGCTCTGATGTTGGCTATGACAGATTCGTTCTGTCCAAGGAGGGGGAATGAGACCTCCCCCGGAGCCTTGTCCTGCAGCCCCAGGCTGGGCTCGCTCAGGCCCACTTCCCCCTGGGCACTGTGAGCAGCTCCCACGGAGGCTGGTACAGATGCTACGGTGGATACAACCTCTCCTCTGAGTGGTCGGCCCCCAGTCACCCCCTGGACATCCTGGTGGCAAGTGAGGAGCTAGGGGGTTCAGCCAGGCACCTCGCATCTGCAGAGGCCCTGCTGAAGGTCTCAGGTGGTGAGGCCAGAATGAAAGTGTAGGGCCCCAGGGAGGGAGAGAGACAGAGAGAGACAGGAGTGGGAGGGGAGAGGGGGAGACTCAGAGACAATAGAGAAAGACAGAGAGGGCGGTCCTCAGAGAGAGGCCTGGTGGCTCTCAGGGCAGAACAAGGTGGGCAGGCATCTCCTCACCTTCTCTCCGTCTCTCTAGGACGACTGCCTGACAGACCCTCCCTCTCGGTGCAGCCAGGCCCCAGGGTGGCCTCAGGAGAGAACGTGACGCTGCTGTGTCAGTCACAGAGCCCGAGGGACACGTTTCTTCTATACAAGGAGGGGGCAGCTGATCCCTCCCTGCATCTGAGATCAAAGCACCGAGCTCGGCAGTTCCAGGCAGAATTCTCCATGAGTCCTATGGCCTCAACTAACGGGGGCACCTACAGGTGCTACAGCTCACACAGCTCCTCCCCCTTCCTGCTGTCACTCCCCAGTGAGCCCCTGGAGCTCCTGGTCTCAGGTGAGGAACCCCTGAGCCTGTCTTTCTGTATTATATCATGCTTGTATCTTGTATACATATATGTATAGTATACATGTATTATTTACATAAAATAAAACTTATGTAAATATACATGTATAATATCCATAATACACGTATATGTGTATACATTCATCCATATACGAATCTATCTATTTCTAGATAGTCCATAACTATTTGGAGAGTGAATGAAAGAATATATGAAATAACAAAAGAAAATCAGTTGAAGGTTCTCCCTGCAGACTCAATAGAATGGTGAACTGGCTGAGGTTGGGCAAAGACTAGTACAGCCCCAGGTTTCCACTCCTATTTGTTTCTGATCCTCAGGACCCCCTGGACACTGACCTCTCATCCATGGATCCAGGACCTTCATCTGAGGATGAACCAAAGACTAATTTTCAGGAGATCACGTTTAGCTGGGGCTATTGCTCCAGACCGAAAGAGACCAAGAAAAAGCTAAACTTCAACTGTTTTTGAACATGTTCACTGTAATCTTGTGGCACAGGGTGTTTCCCAAGCCTGCCCTCTTTTTTAAGACCCAAAAGCTAAGTCCAAGTGTGAGGAAATCAGAGACGCTAGGATTGCCCCCTCACCTATACGAGACGTTTGTATGAGATGTTTGTGAGTAGGGAGATATAATAAGGTAGATCATGAGTCTTTGCTGGGCATAGTCTATGGTTTCAGCCCCTCATCCTCCTCGGTTTTCTGATTCTTAGGGGAACCTGTTAATATCACCCCATCAGTGCAGACCCCAAATTCCACAAGTGGTAAGTAACCACACATGTTTACCTCAGGGACTGGGAAGTGCCATGGACGGGGGTGGGTTGGGTACACGTCTGTTCTGGGTGCTGTGTTGAGTGTGACCCACCTTACCCTCCATGACCACTTTCTCCCATTGTCCCCAGGGCTCCAGGTCCCAGATTACACAGTGGAGAATCTCATTGCCATGGGCCTTTCTGGATTCATCTTGGTGGTGCTAGGTGTGTTGGTGTTTCAGGCGTGGTACAGCGAGAGAAGGTCCCCAGGGATAAACTGAAGATGGAGCACACCCGTTCCTCAGGAACTGTGACACAACCTGAGACCCAAACCACAGAGGCAAGGTTGTGATGGCAAAGAAGGTACCGAAAGCTGGAGCCGCAAGCTGTGTGAACTCTGTGCTGAGGACCTAAAGGAAATGAAACAGTATTGTTAGTGCCTGAGGTGGTGACAGTCGCTGGGAATACTCCTTGTGGGAGACTCCTCCACCATGAGCCTTGCCCTTGCATTGCCCTCTCCTGTTTGGCTGCTCTTATTCCTCATCTCAATGATCCAACGCTACGTCCACATGAAGAGATTCTGTTCATAACTCCACTCTGTCTCATGCTTGTTCCTACACTGTATTGCACATGTCTTCTTGATCACACCCGCATTCCCTGGTGTGAGTTGCTCTGTACCTTGAGCTCTACGTGTAGAGACTCAGGTAACTAAATCAATGAACTAATATTTATATCCAGCCCGGAGGGTGCACGCTGAGAATGCCGCCCCAGGACCTTGTCTGGATTCTGCAGGTTCCTTTCTCTTCACCTGGTGCTTCCTGTGTGGCTCCTCCCACCACCTCTGCACTTGGAATCCACACTCTCCTGTGTGGCCTCATGCAAGTGACAGCCCATCTGTGAGCCTCTCTTGCCTTCCTGTGAAGCTGGTAGCAATGATGGTCCTTCGTGGCTGTGGTGCCAATGAAATGAGATTGTGAATTGTAGGACAATAAACTCATGTTTGTTTGCTGTTGCTGTTTATTTTCTTTTTCATATTAACTGCTGGAAAGAGGATCAAGCAAGTAGTGTCTCACACACTATTGGCAAGTGTACAAATATTTTTTCTGCCAATTTGGGGAATTTTCTGTTTTAGAGAGAGTGATTTTCAGTTATGATCATCATCATCATCATGACCTTCATGATTATCATCACATCATTATCATCATCACCATCACTATAACCGTTATGAGCATCACCATTACCACCATCATTACTATAATCATCATCATCATCATAGTTATCACCATAACTATCACCATCATCACCATACTCATTACCATGATCATCTCCATCATCACCATCACTATTACCACCATCATTGTCACCATAGCTATAACCATCATCACCATAACCCTTTTCATCACCATCACTATGATTATCATCATCACTATCATCAACATAATCATGATGCCATAATCACCATCAACACCATCCTCTCCATCATCAACATCACTGTTATCATAACCATCATCACCACCATCATCATCATCATCACTATCATCATTATCACCATCACCATCATCATTATCACAGCTCTCCTCATCATCATCACCGACACTATCATCATTATCACGACATCACCATCTCCATCACTATTTTTATCATTATCATTATCCTTACCATCACCATCATCATCACCATCACCAAACATCATCATAATCACTATCACCCTCATTATCATTACCATCACCATCACAACTACCATCATTACCATCACAACTACCATCATTATCATCATTACCATCATGATCACCATCACCATCAGCTTAATCACCAACACAATCATCATTATCATATCATTACCAACATATTACCCTCAACACCATCATCAATATCACCATCATCTTCATCACCTTCATATTGCCCTCACCACTATCATCAATGTCACCACCATCTTCATCACCTTCATCATCATCATCATCATCATCATCATCATCATCATCTTCATCATCATCATCATCACTACCAACACTGTCATCATTATTATAACATCATCATCATCATCTCCATCACCACTATCATCAATGTCACCATTATCACCATCACATCATCATTGCCCTCATTATCATTATCACCATTACTATTGCTATCATTGTTATCATGATATCATCATTGGCATCATCATCACTATCCTCGCCCTCACCATCATCATCACCACCACCACTATCATCATCATCATCACATGACCATCATCATGATTGCCTTCATCATCATCATCATTATAACCAACACTATGATCATTATCATGACATCCTCATCACCCATATTATCACTATGTTTTAATCAATACTTCCATCTCCTTGTGCTGGAAGTAAATAAAAACCACATATATGTTGGAGATAAACAATATTCTCTTTTCTTCCTTCCAAGTTCAGAAACTATTTTTAAAATGTTAAATATACTTTTTATCTTCCAACACAGTTGATGTTCAATATTACCTTAGTTTCAGGAGTACAACCCAGTGATTGACATTTATATAACTTACAAAGTGGTCACCCTGATAAATATAGTACCCATCTGACGTCATACATAGTTATTACAATATTACTGACTATAATCTCTATGCTGTACTGTACATTCCCATGAGTATTTTGTAACTACAAATTTGTGCTTCTTAATCCCTTCCATTTTATTTTGTTTTATTAATACTCACCTGGGATATTTTTTCCATTGATTTTTACAGAGAGTTGAAGGGATAGGGGGAGAGAGAGAGAGAGAGAGAAAGGAGAAGAAGAAGAAGAAGAAGAAGAAGAAGAAGAAGAAGAAGAAGAAGAAGAAGAAGAAGAAGAAGAAGAAGAAGAAGGAGAAGGAGAAGGAGAAGGAGAAGGAGAAGGAGAAGGAGAAGGAGAAGGAGAAGGAGAAGGAGAAGGAGAAGGAGAAGGAGAAGGAGAAGGAGAAGGAGAAGGAGAAGGAGAAGGAGAAGGAGAAGGAGAAGGAGAAGGAGAAGGAGAAGAAGAAGGAGGAGGAGGAGGAGGAAAGAGAGAGAGAGAGAGAGAGAGAGAGAGAGAGAGAGAGAGAGAGAGAGAGAGAAACATTTAGATGAGAGAGACACATTTATCTGTTGCCTCCTGAAAATGCCCCAATCGTGCAGGAGATCGAACCTGCAACCCAGGTATGTGCACCTGACCTGGAAATGAACTCCAGACTCTCTGGTGCCCAGGCTGATGTTCCATCCACTGAAACACACCAGCCAGGGCTCTTCACTTTTTCTACCCATAAGCTCCCTTTCATCAGGCAGCCATCAAAACGTTCTCTGTGTCTATGCGCCTGTTTCTGTTCTACTTGTTTGTTTATTTTGTGTGTTTTTTATAGATTCCTCATATAAATGAAATCATCTGGCATTTTTCTCAGTAACTCTTCTTAAAAATTAGAAATAAAAGAGGAATACTTAGGTTTTATAAATATTGAAGAGACTACAATAACACTTAGACAAAGACGCAGAATTTTTCCAGTAGATGAAGCATACAGACCTTGTGGGAAGCAGTATATGCAAAGATTCAGATTGATGCAAAAACGTCAATTGTGGAAAACTTCATACATTTTAGTTGGGCTTCAGTGTGCGGGATAAAGTTGAGTAATGAGATTGGAGAGTGGAGAGAGTGGAATTAGCTGGGGAGGAAGAAAATAAGGGTCTTGGAGATGCACTGAGAGGTTCAGACAATCCCATATGCAGGTGATGGGCCAGGGTCAAGCAAAAAACTCCCAATTCAATGGCGAAGAACTCTGCTCACTGCCTCAAATTGAGACGCTAGCAAAAGGGATACCTTGATGTTTCTAAGATGGTGGATTCTTCTCAGCTAACAACTTGTGACTTGAAATGCTGCCAAGTTCCAGAATCCTGTCCAGAGTCCAAAGCCATGGGAAAGGTGGTCATGCAAAGAGATGGAGAGACTGGAGGGTGTGCCTGGAGCAAAGCCAATTACAGCTGCTCCCACCTCCTTTGAGGCCATGCTGGGAATTGGGATATCTGCACAGTAAATCCTTCAAATGGGAACTATTCTCTGAATCCAAGTGAACGCTCCCCCTGATGTAAAGATCTCAGGAAATTCTTGAGGCTTTCCAGTGGGTTCTGTTTCTCATATCATATGAGATTATGATATGAGAAAGCAAGTGGGGACATAGAGGGCGGCATTGATGGATCTCCTCCTGCTGAGGGCAGGAGAAAGAAGCATATCCACTATGGAGACAAATTATCTGTGTGTATGTCTGGAAGGGGTGGGAGTGAGAGAGGAGAGGGGAGAAATGAAGTGAAAGAAGAAGTAGAAGTAAAAGAAGGAGGAAGAAGAGGAGGAGGAAGAGAAGGGGGAGGAGTTGAGGAAGAAGAGGGAGGAGGAGAAGAAGAAAAGAGAAGTGACAAAAAGAGAGAAAATGCTCTTGGCTTCCAACATCCTGTCGATGCCCCATATAATTTAACTGATCTTGATCCTCCCTCTCCTGTCTTGGAGTAGGAGCCACAGCTTGAAGAATTCTGGTTCCTACCTTAGAAAGACAAACAACAATGTGCCTTTCCTGTCACTCATGTAGGGGTGGAGGCATTTAGACTTTAGGATACATGTTTTCTCTTATCTGGTTCGGTAAATACTACAGCTATCCTCTGGTGGTTTGGCACCCATATTTCCTGAGTGACTGAAGGCAGAGTGGGTATGGTGGCAATAAACCTAATTAAATAGCCACAAGGTAAAGTAGGCACAGAGTGAAATGGTTCAATCTCTACATTTGGTTTAATCCCTGTTTCCTCTTTCCCCTCCCATCTTTTGCTTCAGTCTGAAATTAGGAGAACACAACTGAACCATGATTAATCACCACCTACAGCAGACCACAGTTCCAGATCATTCCAGACAATGCCCATTGAAACTAATCCCAATAAATTCAGTAAAAATTTTTTTAAGAAAGAGTTAACGATCATCGTAGTTAACACTAATGATGGAAACCACATATAGGCCATCTGAGGTGGCCAAGTGAGTGAGACAGAACAAGAATTGAGCATTGGTTACCTGCCTGGACCTTCCTGCATAGATGCAGAGAGTTCAGGTACCTATGGCCTGGAGTGGACAGAGTGAGCTATGATGTGGGAGGAAGCATGTGAGAATTTTCTGGAGGCCCAAGGGAAAGAAAGGGTCATAACCTGCCCTAACAAGTCATCAGGTTTCATGAACTCTCATAGAAACTTCTGGAAATTCTGCCCTGGAGGAAGAGTTTATTCTTATTGATTTGTACCTTTGGATTACTATTGTGTAGTATTACAAGTTATCCAAGTTAGACACATCTTTTCAATTCCTGCACGTTCACAAAGCTTTCATTGCTTTCTATGAATTAAGAAACCAGGCCTGTTGCCAAGCAAAAAGGTGGAGAGTATTATAAGACTTAGAATAGACTGTGGCCATTTTTCAGTGAATTTTTGGCTATGCAAGAACCTGCCCTCACATGTATGATAGCTATACTCCTCTGATGAGAGTATTGCATGGAAAATAGGGAGGGAAGTCAGGATGAGGCATTTCTTTGAAGGCCTTGAATACGAGGGAGAATTTGAATGTGCACATCTTGGGGAATTGAGCAAACACAGGCTGTGGGCGAGGAGGAATGTGTCCGGAAGTGAGAGCGGAGGCACAAAAAGGGAAGTTGACTTGAAAGCCCTTAGAGACTCAATGATCAAAGTCACCCAACAGTAAAAAAAGATCAAATTAGTAATTGATGTACAATTAATTTCTAGAAACCAACAGTTTCATACACACAAATGAGTTCCTACCTCACCTTAAATGTCAACAACTACAGAAAGGAACATTGTAAGGAATAAATGAACAAACAAAACAAACAAACTCATAGATACAGAGGACAAACTGAAGATTGCCGAAGAGGAGGAGGGATTGGGGAACTGCGTGAAAAAGGTGAAGGGATTTAAGAAGTACAGTGTGGTCATTACGGAACAGTCACAGGGGTGCAAAGTACAGCATAGGGAATATAGTCAATGACATTGTAATTACTATGGATGGTTAAGGTGGCTACTAGACTTGTTGGAAGGATCATTTTGTAAATGATACCAATGCCCCCCTACTATGAGGAATACCTGAAACTAACAGAAAATAATGTTGAATGTCAACTTCAAATGAAAAAAGGGCCATGATATGCCCTTAAAAATTAAAAATAAATAAATAAAACAAAAAGATGTAGCTAATAAATGAAAGAATTGTATTCAAAAAAATAAAGAAAAATGAAGACTAAGGACAATGTTTTTTGAGTGGTATTCCACCCCAAAATGCATAATCTGAATCTGAGCATGAGTTGCCATTGGACAAATCTCCTCTTTCGTGTCTATTGTAGCTTCTTTCTCACCAGAACCCCCGCCCCTGTCCATCAGCCCCCAGTCATCTCTACTCAACAACTCTTCTATAACCAGTGGCTGTAAGAAGAGGCCCCTTGCTTTATCTAAGCTTCATTAATCCAAGTGCAACCTGGGAGGATTTGGAGACGCACACAGCCCCTGTAGTGTGGGGAGACATAATGCCTTGGGCAGAGACCAAGGCCATGTCCTGCTCTACACCAAACAGTCACTTCATGGTGTGTTAGGAACAGTGTCTAGAATACAGAACTGGGGGTTTACAAAAGGCAGAACTTGCTTTCTGAAAAAGGAGAAGTCATGCATCTTATTTTGGACCATCGCAGAGATTGGCCTGTGGTGAAATAGCTGCTTTGCTTCCTTTTGAAAGGTCAGTGTTGAAACATGGGCTGGGGGCAATGGATGCCTACCCACGACATCCTCTTAGTAAGCATTGCCTTCCAGGCTCTGTCCTGTCATCCCTCTGCACAGCGTGGGCGTGACAAGAAAATCCCTGCAATTCTGAAACTCACCCCCCTGCTCTGCCTTATTCTGTGGGGAAGAAAAGTTGAGTCCTATTTTATTATTATCACTTTGTAGTTTTAGAAAAAGCCTTGGATTTCACTTCAAAGTCATTCCTAATTGGTCTTTGCATTGGTGTGTTATTGATTTATTCTTTGTTCACAAGTATTTTGAAATTAAGGCTTGGTAACAAAGTGATCCATAATCAGCGGTTGACTATTGGCACTATGTCACCTTCATTAGTCTTCTCATCGGTGTGTTACCAATCTATTATCCATTAGTAAATATTCTTAAGTTAAGCACTGGTGATCAATTAAGCAACGGTTAATCACTTAATGGATTTAATGGCTATGCGAATGTTCATCTGTTGAATTTTACGAGCTGGAGCACAGTGTGAGAAGTGCCGATGATTCCACAAGGAAAAGATGCGGCTTACAATTCCATGGGGCATCTTATTTGCTTACCTTCTTTTGCCTACAAAATCACGACAACAAATTGTGAAACACACTCCTTCCCCAACCAGGGACAGTCCTTAATTTAGGCAGGGGCGAGGCATCGGACATGTAGTTAGTATAAACTTGGTTTGAAATGCAAAGGTAGTCCCTTCCTTGAAGGTCCTGAGCACTAGTTGAGAAGATGATGTTGGGATCCACAGGGGACAGGATGCTTTTATGGGGCCGGGAGAGGGTCTGGGAGAGGGCCAAGGTGAGATGGGAGTGGACAATCGACAAGAGAGGCAGATTCAAATCTGACACCTGCCGTGGAATGGAAAGTCACCGAGCGGGAATTTCTTAGTGGGATAACTGGAGACGCGGACTTCTTTCCAAGAGCCTGTTTCTCCAGGGAAGGGAAAGATTTATGAGCTGGGCCTCATGCAAGTTCACATTCTGGAAAGTACTTTGGAAGTTGAGAATGGAGGGGGGGGTAACCATCCTCTGTGTGTGGGTTTTTCATTTCCTGGTCATTGAGTCTCCCATTATATATATATATATATATATATATATATATATATATATATATATATATATATATATATATATATCGAGAGAGAGAGAGAGAGAGTTCAGAAGGAGAGGGAGAGAGAGAGAAACATCAATGATGAGAGAAAATCATTGATCAGCTGCCTCCCACACGCCCCTGGTGGGGCCAAGCCCACAACAAGGGCTTGTGCCCTGACTCAGAATCAAACCATGACCTCCTGGTTCATAGGTAAGATGCTCAATCACTGAGCCATGCTGGCTGGGCATTCTCACCCTTTTTATTGGTAAAATAGTAACCTGTAATTTCCTGCAGATTCTTTTCTATTGGTTGTTGACCTAGCCATTCTGTTGAATATTCAACTACTCCTGGATACCTCCAAACCACTGGCACCTGCCAGTCAGAGTGGAGGCTTAAAAAGGTGAGGCGATGGATGCAGATTGCCTGGGTCTTTGAACCTGCCCTGTAGCTATTTCCCTAGTTCTGGAATTCCCCAATGGTACAGACATCCTCAATACCCGAGCTATGGAGTAAGAGATACAATGGAGGAAAGACTGGGGATGGGATGGGATGGGGTGGATGGCACTGGAGATGCCCTTCCCACCTGGTAGGACTGCACAGATTTGTGCCACCACCAAGGACTTGGAAGACACAGGGACCAGGATTCCATCCACATCCCCATGCGACTCCCCTGGTTGGCTTCTGCCGAGGACAAATGGAACTTGAAGAATTGCAGTGGGTTCCTGTGTACCAGGTGGTGATTTTAATTTCTGCCTCAATGGAGTCTTCATTACTGGAAAAAAAAACACCCCCAAAACCCAGACACCTCCTGGTGTCCAGCTCTTCATCTGGTGAAAGCTGGGTCTATCTCTAAGGGCTACAAGGTCAGTCTGCTTCTGCATGTCAGGGCCAATACACACTCAACTGCCCTCCCCTAGGAGAGAAGAACTCTCCGGAGCCCTAACCTAGGCTGCAGGGACCAGGATCACCCCTCCATTGGGCAGGACACCCTACAGGTCCATTACGTACCACGTGGATTGGACCTGCAGAAACAGGAAGTTAGCAACCCACTCAGGCCCTTTGTAAGACCGATGCATTCCAGAGTGGGGGAAAGGGATCTGCCCACATCTCCGGCCTTGCTGTCCGGGTGAAATTCCTAGGAGTCCAGTTCCCCAAGGCATGGTGATAGCCCATCCATGGTGAGGACTCAGCTCCATCGGACCCTCTTGTGAAGGAGGAGCAAACCCAATTCCTGGTGGACCTTGTTTGGAAGTTGGAGACTGCATATTCCTCCTTGGGCATGTCACCTCACCCATATATGAGTGTCTTGAGAGGCTGCTGGTTTTGGGTGGGGACCCAAACAAGAGAAATCTTTGCAGCAGGTCCAGGCTGCCTGGGCTGTGTGACCCAGGAGATCCAATTGTGTTTGGAGCATCTGGCAGATGAGGTCATTATACAGAATCTTGGAGGGAATTACAGATGAGTTAAAACACAGACATTTGGCCCTAACCAGTTTGGCTCAGTGGATGGAACATCAGCCTGTGGAACAAAGGGACCAGGTTCAATGCTGGTCAAGGGCACCTACCTTGGTTGCAGGCTCCTCTCTGGCCTGGCTCCTGGTCACGGCTCGTGCAGGAGGCTACCAATCGATGTGCTTCTCTCACATCAGTGTTTCTCTCTGTCTTTCCCTCTCTCTTCCACTCTCCCTTAAAAAAAGCCAATGGAAAAATATCCTTACGTGAGGTTTAAAAAAATCAATCAATCAATCAATCAATCATTCAATCAATAATAAAGCACAGACACTTGCTATTTTGGAGTCACACTATGCTTTTCTGAGGAGGACTATTCTCCTCTGTGAAACAATGTTGGCATTGTTACTGGGCTCTACCAGAGGTCGTCTTAGCCAAGTCACCATGAGGCATGAGATGCCCATCATGGAATGGGAGGTAGTTCCTGAGCACACCTTGAACGGAGCATGCCCAGCAGCACCCCAGCCCCAGACAGAATTGGTTTATGTGGCTCAAGAAGTCCCCAAAGGGATGAGGCAGGCACAGCAAGGACCTTCTAAAGATATGCACCTCCTACTCCTCAGCACCCGTGCCTATGTCACCTCCCATGGCACAAGGGACTTTGCAGGTGTGATGGAGTTAAGGATCTTGAGAAGGGAGATGGCCCTGGGTGATCCAGGTGGGCTCCATGCCATCAGAAAGTCCTGGGGATTGAAGGAGAGAGGCAGGAGGACAGAGCCGAAGAGATGTGACAAGGAGAGCCGTGGACAGTGATGTAACTGCTGGCCCCGAGGATGAATGGACATGAGATATGGGTAGCCTGTGAAGCTTGAAAGACAAGGAATCCCATTCTGACTCCTGAATGGAAAGATGATTAATCACTGTTGCTTTAACCCATTAAGCATATGGGTATTTGTTGTAACAGCAACAGGACACTAATACTCTCTTTCTCTGTCTCTCTTGTTCTCTCTCTCTCTCTCATTTTTGGAGATGGTGATGCAGTTTTGCTCTGTTTGGCTAATCTGAGATTTGCAAGCTCAGAGTTGGAATCTGTGTGGTTCAGTGGTGTATTCCCAGGCCAGGCACATGGCAAATCCTCAAGGAATAAGGGTGGATGCTTAGGTCAAAGAGGAGTTCAGGCCAGTGAGGCAGAAGCTTATGGATGAAATGGGGCCTGGGATGGGGTCAGAAATGTCTGCAGAAGTCGCTGCCGCCCAGGCCTCAGCCCTGAGGAAATGAGAGCCAGGCTCCCCGGGAGGTGCTGTTCCCTTTCCTGGGGCTGCTGACGTGACAGTCCCGTGATGGGGAGGACCAGCCTCCTGGGGGCCACACCCTGTGTGTCGGCCTCTTCTGAGGACACTGTGGCCTCCTCCATCTGCACAGCCACGACCACAGAGAAAGAGACGCCATGACCGCCACCCTCAGGGCCCTATTCTGCCTCGGTGAGATGTGAGGAGGGGGATGGGAAGCCCTGGTGTGAGCGGGGCTGGTGGGTGGGGTGGAACCCTGCATCCTGGCCAGGCCTGCTCTGTCAGGACAGCAGGACTCAGGAGGCTCATGGGGAGGAGGGTGCTGCTCAGGGTTCAGGGCAAATCTCTCACAGGGACTCTCTTCCAGGGCTGAGTGTGGGCCTCAGGAACCCAGTGCAGGCAGGTGAGTCTGTCCCCAGGTGTCCCAGGTCCCACTCCTCACTGGGGACAAGGGCCACACCATGGGAAGCTGAAGAAAAACACCACTTCTGGGCTGACAGATGGGAGATGTCTGGGAGGGACATGGGGATGAGAGCTGGGAACTGGGGGTGGGAATGTCTCGTTAACCTGATACTGGTTTCCTTCCAGGGCCCCTCTCCAAACCCACCATCTGGGCTGAGCCAGGCTCTATGATCCCCCAGTGGAGACCCGTGACCATCTGGTGTCAGGGGACCCTGGAGGCCCAGGAGTACTATCTGTATAAAGAGGGAAGCCCAGTGCCCTGGGACAGACAGAAGCCACTGAAGCCCCGGGACAAGGCCAAGTTTTCCATCACATACATGACAGAGCTTAATGTTGGGATATATCGCTGTTACTATCTCAGCCCTGATGGCTGGTCAGAGCGCAGTGACCCCCTGGAGCTGGTGGTGACAGGTGAGAGGACACTCAGGGGTCCCAGCCTCAGGCCCTGCCCTCAGGAAGGGGGTCTGCTCTCAGGGTGTCTCCCTCTCACAGCCCAGCCCTGGGGGACATGAGGGAGGTGTGAGCCCCATTTAACACACTGCCTCCTCCTCTCCTAGGATCCTACAGCAGACCCAGGCTCTCAGCCCTGCCCAGCCCTGTGGTGACCTCAGGAGGGAACGTGACCCTCCAGTGTGGCTCAGGGCAGGGATTTGGCAGGTTCATTCTGACTAAGGAAGGAGATCACAGGCTCTCCTGGACCCTGGACTCACAGCGACAGCCCAGTGGGCAGTTCCAGGCCCTGTTCCCTGTGGGCCCCGTGATCTCCCTTCACAGGTGGACATTCAGATGCTATGGCTGTTACAGGAACAGACCCCAGGTGTGCTCACACCCCAGTGACCCCCTGGAGCTCCTGGTCCCAGGTGAGGCCCCCCTCACCCTGTCTGCTGGGCGCTCAGCTCAGAGTTTTATCCCCAGAAGAATTATGGGCTGAAAGGGAGTGAGGGGCTCTAGGGCTGGTCACCCAGAGATCTTCCTCTTGGAGACCCTGCTATCCTTGTTCACCTATTCCCCTCACCTTGGTTCGGAAAGTGCCAGGTGGGCATTGGGAGGGTCTCATGGGCCACAGGACAGATGTAGGAGGAGTCTGAGTGAGGTGGGGGCTCCAGGGTCAGCCCCAGGCTCTCACCCACTTCTGTCTTCCTCCCCAGAATGCCCTGGGATCCCAGTACCACACCCACAGGATCCAATTTGCACAGAGGGATACAGACCACCCCAGGGCGGTTCTGAGTCCCGCAGAGGATTAAATCCCCCCCACACACACACACACCCTCCTCACACTTAAGGACAGGCTTGTGTCCCAGGGGGGCTGAGAGTCAGGAAGAGATGCTGGGAAATCCCAGGCTCCTAGGCTCTGAGACTGGCAGGTGATAGGCGGGAAGGTCATGGTAGCAGGAGATATTAAAGCCCAGGCTGGGTAGGAGCAGCCAGGTTCAAGTGGGGAGAAGGCAGGCCCCACCCATCACCCCACATTTTGATATCCAGGAGACTCTGAGGATCCGCAGCTCCCCCCCATGGAGTCAGGACCCCAGAAGGGTAAGTGAGGGTCTCTGTGGGAGGTGGTGGGTGCCTCCATGGGGACAGCAGCAGAGCCATGCGGGGGTTCAGGTGCCACTGGAGACGCTGACTCGAACCCACCCTTCCCCTGCATGGGCCTCAGTGTCTCCAAGTGTGAATGGAAAAAATCCTTGTCCAGAGCTTAGATTTCCTGTCGGTTCTGACCCTGACCTCCTGGGAGAGGGGCCTCACAGGGAAGCCCCCAGGATGTGATGTTATGGGGCCTGTCCCCTCTGTCTCAGTGACGGTGACACTGTACAGGGAGGGACAGGCAGGACAAGGGTCCGGGCACCCAGTCCTCCCCCTCAGCTCAGGCTCAGCTCAGAGGAGGGAACAGGGTGGATCAGCCCTGGCTCAGCTCCTGGCTCTGCTGCTCCTGCTGTGGGGCTGGGCGGTCCCTTCTCTCCTCTGAGTGTCGGGTTCCTGTCTGCTCATCCCTGGTCCCATCCTGCTCACAGGCTGCTGGGAGATGAGGTGACATAAGGGCCTCACAGATCTCAGGAGGGCAGAGCCCCCAGCCCAGCCCGACCTTCCCAAAGGGGGCATCAGGGCCTGCAGGGTGGAGTTGGATCCAGGAAAGACTCAGAGTCCACCCCACACCCTGCCCCTCCCAGTGCCTGCTGTGCTGGGGGCGGGTAATGAGGAAGGACCCTCAGCTCCAGATGAGACATAGACAGGACTCTTCAGAGGAGGAGCCCAGAGTATGAAGCTGGTGTCCCCCTGGGGGGCAGTGTGAGGAGACCACAAGGAACCCACAGTTCTGGTTTCCAGTCCCAGCCCCGCCCCTTCAAGACTAGGTGACCTGGGGCACAGGATTAACCTCTCTGAGCCTCAGGGAAGTGGGTGGTGGGGTCAGCAATGCCTGGTACCTGACTACTGTGAGGTGAGAGGAGATGAGTGACAGACCCTGGCACACAGTAGGTGCTCATGAAATGGCATCACTGGCTCATTCATGACATCACCCTTGTCCAAGGTCTCAAATGGTACATGATCATCCTGATCGGGGTCTCGGTGGCCCTGGTCCTGCTGCTCTCCCTCCTCCTCTTATTCCTCCTCCGCTTCCGGCGTCAGAGCAAAGGCAGGACATCAGGTGAGTAGGGAATGGGGTGACCTGGGTCATAGGAGGGAGGGGGGCTCAGAGCACCTGCCACAGGAAAACCAAATGGATGGAGAAGGTCCAGCTGGGAAAAGGATTTCTCCAGAATCTCAAATCAGAAAATGTAGCACTCAATGTCAGCACATGTGTATGTATTTTAGGTAATCTTTCATTATTGTTAATGCCATGAAATATGAAAGTTATGCATAAGTGTGTGTTACATTTTCATCTTTCCTGTGGGATCACAGGGGGGAAGGGTTCTAACCTCCCAGGGCTGAGACTGTCCCTCTTAACCAGCCCAGAGAGGGGCTCATGTCCAACCTCCTGCAGGGACCACAGACCCAGAGCCCAAGGACAGAGGCCTGCAGATCAGGTAATTCCTGCCCTGAAGACCCCAGACTCTGACCATCCATAGCCCAGCTCTGCCTCTAACACTCCTGTCTCCTCCCCCAGCTCCAGCCCAGCTGTGCACACCCAGGAGGAGCACCTCTGTGAGAGGAAGAGATAGCTGCCCTGGGGGATGGGGCACAGGGATTTCAGGGGATGATTGGGAGGAGAAGGCCTAGGAGGGTGTGGGTCAGGGTGAGAAGGACTGAGATCCACACTGTGTGACCTGGCTCTGCACCTCATCCTTGGTTAGTGGCCCATCTGGGAGCAAGTGGGTCTGCTTGCCTGAGATCTTGGGGGACCTGCCAGGCTTCACGACCCCCATTCTGCCCCAGCAGATGCTGATGTGATGGACCCGCAGCCTGGGGAGAGCGTGGAGCTGGATCCTCGGGTGAGACCCCTGATCCTGTCCAGGCCACCAAGGACCTTCTGTTGCCCAGTTTATTCCAATGGACCCTCCCCTGTCCCACCTCACCTGCTTCTCAGCAGCATCCACACTGACCTCCCCTCTGGGCCCCCAGGTCGTCCTGATGTGACTCACTCTCCTGGTTTCCCTGTGACCTCATGGCCCCTCCTGCGTGGCTCCCTTTGCCGGCCCCTCGTCCTCTGTCTGACCTTGTGCAGCCCCAGGCCTCAGGAGGAGGCGGGAATGAGTGACTCACCCACAGATCCCCTCGATGCCCTTCATTCATTCCCCCAGCAGATGTGACAGGGCTCACTGTTTATTGGCTCCATTTAGGGGCCACAGTGCAGCCCTGAGCCACACTGTCTCCACACGCCTCCAGCTCCCCTGTGGGCGAGGGAGACAATATGCAAACAAGCAGACAGTGTCCCAGAGAGCAGTTTGCAGACAGTGTCCCAGAGAGCAAAGAGCTGTGAAGGAACATAAAGCAAGAGGAGGGGATAGAGTGCATGGTGGGGGGACAGGGAAAGAGCGGGTGCAAAGGTCCTGAGGCAGGACATGCTTCTTCAGGAGGACGGGCCATGAGGCTGGAGCCCAGTGAGCAAGAGAGAGCACGTTAGGATAAGAGTCAGAACCATAGAAGCACCCAGAGGCTCCAGGTCTTAGGAAGACCCTGCAGATTCCACCAGGAGAGGGACGTGATCTATTTAAAGTGTAAGTCATCTCTCTGGCAACATGAGGATAATTGACAGGAGGATTTCAACAGTGAAATCAAGGAGACACTGTTCTGTCTCACTGTCTCCAACAGAACAGGCAGGATGAAGGCCCCCAGGGAGTGACGTACGCCCAGGTGAACTGCTCAAGACCAAGACCCGGGCCGGGAATGGCCACCTCTTCTTCCTCCCCTTCTGGGGGGTTGCTGGACCAGAAGGGCAGACAAGCAGAAGAGGACAGTCAGGTGGGTCCCATCCTCCCCAGGCCCCTAGGACCTCCCCAACCCCAACCACGTTTCATCCCTCTCTCTCTCTCTCCCCCTGCTCCAGGCTGCTGCGTCGGATGCCCTCCCACATACAGCCTATGCCCTGCTGAAAGGCTCGGCCCTCAGATAGAGGACAACACCCCCTTCCTCCCATCAGAGGAGCCCCCAGATGAGTCCAGTGTGTACGCTGCTCTGCCCATCCACTAGCCCAGACCCCACAGTGCAGAGAGAGGGCCTGCCAGGACCCCTGAGGACACTGGAGCGACCCCCATGGACACTCAGTGCCCTGGCCAGTCTGGAGATCTGACGTGGACCCCCAACTGCTCCTGGGATGCCCCTGGGAGTCGCCTGATTCTGCAATCACAGATGACTAATATCCCTACATTATGGAATCAGAGCAATAGACTTCTCAATAACCAACTTGTGAATTGATTATTGACAGGAAGTGAGCCAATGCTTTCAATGAATGCTCATGTAAATATTATGCATCAAGCCTATGAAATAAAAAAAATTAAGAGACATGCGTGAATATATTAGAAAAGAAAAACCTAAAAGGTCAAGACCTAATTTATTACATCAAGAATTTAGAAGACGAATAGCCAATTATTCTAAATGAGGGTAGACCGAGGGATGCAATAATAAGTAGCTACTAGTGAGGACAGACAAAAATAGAGAAAAAGCAGCAAAGTCAAAAAATTTTATTCTTGAAAACTGTAATCACACTGATAAATCTTAGCCACCTTAGATAAGGAAAAAGGGGAAGAGGCACACATTCCCATGACGAGGACAGCATCACAGATCCTACAGACTTTAAACAGATACCACAACATTATAAATGATTTGATGCCAGGCCCTGCCCAGTTAGCTCAGTTGGTTAGAGCATCACCCCAATACACCAAGCCTGCACGTTCGATCCCTGGTCAGGGCACATACAAGAATCAGTCAATGAATGCATAAATAAGTAAGACAACAAATTTTTTTTTTGAAACTTGTACCATCAAAAAGGAAGAAATATATTAATAGGTTCCTTGAACTTTTCATTTAGGACAGAAGGCAAAATAACTTTCTGAACAAAAACACAAAAATAGAGCACATTTATCAACAGTAGAAAGACGCCTAAGCTTATAACAATGTATTAAATCTGACGTAATAACACACAGAAATTCACTGCCAGATATTCTGATGCATTATCCTGAAAATATGTCTCATACATAACACTAACATATAACAAAGTACAGTGGGGCCTTGACTTACGAGTTTAATTCGTTCCGAGACTGAGCTCGTTAAGGAGCTCGTTAACTCAAATTACTCTATCAACTCAATGCAAAAATCGGCGGAGAGACAGCTGGTATCTCAAAAAACTCATTAGTCGGGACACTCGTAAGTCAAGGCCCCACTGTATAGCATTGTTTTCACACGGAGAAAAGATAAGTTTCAGTTTTGTAAAACAACAAATTGATGTTTCTCTCTCTCCCTTCCTCTTTCTCTCTAATTAAGAAAATAAAATTTGATGCCAACGTATTAGCCACTGGTGTGGCTCAGTGGTTGAGCATGGACCTATGAACCAGGAGGTCATGGTTCGATTCCCAGTCAGGGCCCATGCCCGGGTTGTGGGCTCCATCCCCAGTTTGGAGCATGCAGGAGGCAACTGATCATGGATTCTCTCTCATCATTGATGTTTCTATCGCTCTCCCCCTCTCCCTTTCTCTCTGAAATCAATAAAAAATATTTTTTAAAAATATGGACATGTTCAAATGTACAGTTTACTAAGTAGACATCAGAGTTAGTAGAAAATCTGTGTCACCTTATGTATATAGTAAATACACATGATAAACATTGCCCTGCACATGAGCGCTGTGGAATATGACAAAAGTAAAAAAGATAAAAACGAAGAGTAGAGCAGTCGGGAGTGGGAGGGAGACATGGGGAGAGATTGGTTAAAAGGTACAACCTTCCAGTTACAAGACTGGCAAATCCCGAGGCTCTAATGCACAGCATGGTGTTATAGCTAAGACCCCAGTTATCTTATTCTTGTGTGTTGCTGAGAGAGAGACAGCAACTCAGGGACAGGGGAGAGCTGTTAGCTAAGGCCAGGTGGTCCTCCTCTTGCAATATCCTATATAATAAAGAGCTAATATGGTAATTAGACGGGATGGCAGAACAACCTTCGGAATGAAGTTCTGGAATGACCTTCCAGAACGACCTGTGGGTTGCGAAGACCTACCATTGCACAAATTTCGTGCACCGGGCCTCTAGTATAAATATATCAGTTCAGGAGGCTTCATTGGTGGTTTCTTACAAATGCTTATGCACTTACCCCCCCCACACACACACACACACACGCCAAACTTACACAGGCATTTCCGAAGAGCAGAAAACCACACCTGGAGGTCTGAAGAATCTCTCCCCCAAAACCTGGTCTCCCTCATGGAGACCCAACCTGACCTGGTGGGTTTAAGGAGGGAGGCACTACTTCTCGCTCAGGGATTTGCCCCTGCTGACATGTTCACCTTTGTCCCTTAAAATGAATGTGGCTCAGGACACAATGTTCACTAACAGTCAGCTCCATGGAGGTATTTCTCCACTATCTTCTGGTATAGGCGTTTCCTGTGAGGAAGTCTGGTCCCAGGGAGCTTGCCATTATGGCTATTTGCATTTTTCTGTAGAAAGTAAAGTAACAACCTTTTAGAAACCCAGGCTAGTCCTCCTTGATTTGTTTTTGAGTTGAAATTCACATAAAATCAACCATTTTAATGTGTACAGTTCAGTGTAGGATATACTTTTAAAAAATTTATCCTTCATTTACCACAAAAGATCAAGATAATGATTGCAGATCTCGGGGATTTCATTTTTAAGCATGCACACCTTATCACTTGTTTGGTTTTTTCTCATGTCTGTAAAATTTTCAATTACTTATCTCTCGAGCGGTTACTAGACATCATTCTCACTTCTTTCCTTCTGACATCAGGGATATGACACTGACCCTTCTCATTGTACTCCTCAAGTACCTTACATCTCCACTTCAGGTCCCCTTGTGCTGTGTTCTGGGAATTTCCTCAGTATTATACTCCACTTTCATGATCATCTCTTCAGCTGTGTCTCTTCCCTGAGGGGTTGAATTGTTTTAATGTGATCCTTCTATTGGGTTTTTCATCTCTCAAAGTTCTAACTCATTAGGTTCTTTTAGAAAAGAATCCATATTCTTCTGTGTCAAAAATTGGCTCCGCCTTTTATGTTCCAGATATTGAAGCATGATTAATCTCAAATTACTCTCATATTTTCCTACTGACTCTACTCTATTGCACATGACAGTCCCCATCATCAGTAGATTGCTGTCTGTAGCACTGTTTATCATTATCAGGATGACTTTACTGTGCATTCTATTGGAAGACTTGCCCCTCACACACCTGACCTTCCATAGGTTGTTACCAGGACTGTCCTGGGAGTCAGGTTGTTGAGGGAGGGGCTTTGGCAGCTGCCCCTGCCGCATGGTGACCACTCTCTCAGACTCAGCATCTGCCCAGGGTTCTGCTCCTCAGGGCCAGTCCAATGGGAGCTTCACAGGCACACATGGGACAGACACTCTTGGCTGACAATGCTGGACTTGGTCTTTTTCAGGCCACACAGGGGAGGATGCTCACTGCTGAGCATGGGCTCACTGCAGTGGACAGAGATGTCCCAATTCATGCACAGAAACACAGGCAGGGTGACCAGAGTTTCCTGGACCCTGACCTCTCCCTCCTTGTGAGGACCTGGGGTCCCTTTCTGTGTCCACACAGGATAGAATCTCCTCTCTGATGACCTGCTGATGGTTTCAGACACTGGTGACCAACTCAGCTTTTGTCACGGATTTTCCCCGTAGTTCCCTCTCCTTTTGGGCAACTTTCATTTCCCCTTTTTCTGAATTTGTCTGTTCCTAAAATTATAGAACTACTGTAAGAAGCTTTATTTGGTCTTCAGAGCAGACAAGGGCTCAAGTGGGTGTAACAATCCTGCACTTGACTGTGGATGCCTCGATCCCCTCATCGCCCACCCACTCAGGTCTCCACCTGGTCTGAAGTCGATGTCTCCCTCCCATGGGCACAGCCCCACTGACCCACAACCACTCTGAGGATCCAAATGGGCAAACTGAGGCTTAGAGATAGGACATCACCACTCAAGGTTACACGGGTGATGGGCATTTAAATAAAAGTCATTTTTAAGTCAAAATCAGCACTCTAACCTCAATGAATGTCCCCTAAAGCTAGAAGGCAGGACCAGAGAATGAGGAAGAGACTTCAACCCAGAAACAAGGGGCACTGAGGAGGCAGGAATGACTCATAGGCTTGTTGCCAGGGAGGTGGGGTGGATGCTGTCACAAAAAAAAAAAGTTTGAGGGCGGCTATGGTAGAAAGAAAGCCACACTCTGGGGCAAGGAGAAGAGACCTGTTTCCTTCCCTTATTTCCCTTCGTCCCCCCTCTGTGCTCATTGTCACAGGGACATCGCACTGAGCTGCACAGTTGGAGGGTGAGCGTGTCCCTGCTGATCTGAGCTCTGCAGGCCACAGGGACCCACGTCTTCCTGAAGCGTCTCCATGGCCCAGGTGGCACTGTCCATGGTGAGGACCCCAGGGAGGTGCTGATGGATGGGCTGAGGAGGAAGGAGACCCCATGGGGGAGGCTCTGACAGGGAAGGATGTGCCCTGGGTCACCTCACCTGCAAGGGGCGTCTCAGGAGGGAGGCTCTGGGTCTATTTCCTGCTTCACCATGGAAATGAGAGCCAGGCTGCTAGAGAGAGGCTGTGGCCTTGCCTGCAGGCTGCTGATGTTACAACCACAAGAGAGGGCGGGCCAGCCTCCCAGTGCCCACACCCTCTATGTCTGTTCAGAGGGCATCATCATCTCCATCTACACACCCCTGAGGAGAGCATGGAGACACCATGATCACCACTATCACGGCCCTGCTCTGCCTCGGTGAGATGGGAGGGGGAGGGGAGCCCTGGTCTGTCAGGACCCCAGGACTCAGGAGGCTCATGGGGAGGAGGGTGCTGCTCAGGGCTCAGGGCAAATCTCTCACAGGGACTCTCTTCCAGGGCTGAGTGTGGGCCTCAGGACCCCAGTGCAGGCAGGTGAGTCTCCCCAGGTGTCCCAGGTCCCACTCCTCCATGGGGATGAGGGGCCACACCACAGGCAGCTGGGGATGAAGAAGAGCAATTCTGACCTGACAGATGGGGGACATCTGGGACTGAAAGCTGGGGACTGAGGGTGAGAATGTCTTGTGACCCTGACACAGGCTTTCTTCCAGAGACCCTCCCCAAGCCCATCCTCTGGGCTGAGCCAGGCCCTGTGATCCCGCGGGGGAGCCCTGTGACCATCTGGTGTGAGGGGACCCCAGGGGCTGAGGAGTACCATCTGGAGAAAGAGGGAAGCCCAGCACCATGGAAAAGACAGAAGCCACAGGAGCCTGGGGACAAGGCCAAGTTCTCCATCACACACATGACAGAGCATGATGCAGGGATATTTCGCTGTTACTCTCTCAGCCCTGATGGCTGGTCAGAGCCCAGTGACCCCCTGGAGCTGGTGGTGACAGGTGAGAGGACACTCAGGGGTCCCAGCCTCAGGCTCTGCCCTCAGGAAGGGGGTCTGCTCTCAGGGTGTCTCCCTCTCACAGCCCAGCCCTGGGAGACATGAGGGAGGTGTGAGCCCATTTAACATGTTGCCTCCTCCTCTCCTAGGATCCTACAGCAAACCCAGCCTCTCAGCCCTGCCCAGCCCTGTCGTGACCTCAGGAGGGAACGTGACCCTCCAGTGTGGCTCAGGGCAGGGATTTGCCAGGTTCATTCTGACTAAGGAAGGAGACCACAGGCTCTCCTGGACTCTGGACTCATAGTGACAGCCCAGTGGGCAGTTCCAGGCCCTGTTCCCTGTGGGCCCAGTGAACTCCAGCCACAGTTGGACATTCAGATGCTATGGCTGTTACAGGAACAGCCCCCAGGTGTGCTCAAACTCCAGTGACCCCCTGGAGCTCCTGGTCCCAGGTGAGTCCCATTATTGTCCCATCAATGGATTTAGGCACCAGATACATTATTGGCATCTTTGCTGGGAGGGGAGTCCCATGAGAGAGGGAATCGGGACAGCACAGGGCTCCTGGGCTAGGTACATAGAGAGAGACCTTGAGACTTGCGGACCAGGCCAGGAGAAAAAGGTTTATGGGAGGAGCAGCCCCTGTAATTCATGTCTGGTCTCCCCAGGTCAGTCTGGGAAGCCCTCCCTCCTGAGCCAGCAGGGCCCCATCGTGGCCTCTGGACAGAACCTGACCCTCCAGTGTCGCTCTGATGTCAGCTATGACAGATTCGCTCTGCACAAGGAGGGGGGATGGGACCTCCCCCAGAGCCTTGTCCTGCAGCCCCAGGCTGGGCTCTCTCAGGCCCACTTCCCCCTGGACACTGTGAGCAGCTCCCACGGGGGCCGGTACAGATGCTACGGTGGATACAACCTCTCCTCTGAGTGGTCGGCCCCCAGTGACCCCCTGGACATCCTGGTGGCAGGTGAGGAGCCAGTGGGTTCAGTCAGGGACCAGACTCTGCACAGGCCCTGCTGGGGTCTCAGGTGGTGAGGCCAGAATGAAAGTGCAGGGCCCCAGGGAGGGAGAGAGACAGAGAGAGACAGGGGGTAGGAGGGGAGAGGGGAGACTCAGAGAAACAGCGACAGACAGAGAGGCGGGTCCTCAGAAAGAGAGTCCTGGTGACTCTCAGCTCAGAAGAAGCTAAGTAGGCAGCCCTCACCCTCCCTCCCTCCCTCTCTCTAGGACACCTGCCTGACAGACCCTCCCTCTCGGTGGTGGTGCATTCAGGAGCCAGGATGGCCTCAGGAATGAATGTGACCCTGCTGTGTCAGTCACAGAGCCCGAGGGACACTTTCCTTCTGTCCAAGGAGGGGGCAGCCGATCCTCCCCTGCGTCTGAGATCAGAGCACCGAGCTCAGCAGTTCCAGGCAGAGTTCTCCATGAGCCCTGTGACCTCAGCCCACGGGGGCACCTACAGGTGCTACAGTTCACTCAGCCCCTCCCCCTTCCTGTTGTCACTCCCCAGTGAGCCCCTGGAGCTCCTGGTCTCAGGTGAGGGCCCCTGACCCTGTCTGCTGAGCTGTCAGCTCAGTTATGTTCCCAGAACAATTCTTCATTGAAAGGGGAGTGAGGGTCTCTAGAGATGGTCACCCAGAAATCTTCCTGATGGAGGCTCTGCTCCCCCTGCTCAGCCCTCCCCCTCACGTGGATCCAGAAGGTGCCAAGTGGGTATTGGGAGGGTCTGAGGGGCCACAGGGCAGATGAAGGAGGAGTCTGAGTGAGGTGGGGAGCCCAGGGTTGGTTCCAGATTCTCACACCTTGTGTAGTCTTTCCCAGGAATCTCTTGGACCCCAGCTTCCCCACTCCTCCACAGGGCCCATGTCCACAGCTGATGAACCACAGAGTCCTCTTTGCTCATAGAGCACAGACAACCCCAGGACAGTTCTGAGTCTCTCAGAGGATCTAATGCCCCCCCACCCCCGACTCATAAGAAAGGCTTGTGTCCCACAGGCCTGGGAACCTAGGAGAAATTGTAGCAGAACCATCATGCTCTGAGGGCCTGAGCATTCACGTCCCACCGCCCCCCCGCCAATGTAGTCTGGCCTATGAGAGGGAAGTGAGGCAGGTGACAGGTGGGGTGGTCATGGCAGAGGGAGATTTTGGGGTCCAGGCTGTGGAAGGAGGAACAACACTGGCTGGCCATGACCTGCAGGGGCGCTTTCATTTCTAACTTCCTGGGGCACCTGACACCTGGCTTGTCCTAGACCGGCTCCGGCTGCAGCCTCTCTGGGCCTGTCCTGCTGCTCCCAGTCACTGTGACCTTGTAGGGATTGAAAAGGTGAGGCAGTCAGGGGGCAGGTACACTGATTATCCGCCAGGTCCAGGGGCTCAGCTTAGCAAGAGGAGCCACCATGTTATGGAGACACCAAAGATTTGGAAACTCCCACTTAGCATCTCAGCTCCTCCTGGTTCCACACAGAATCTGTGCCGTTATCCACCAGAATCCAGCAGCCCTGCATAGTTCACCTGGCGCCCAGTCCCTAACCCCAGTGGAGAGTGTATAGAGTGGATGATGGAGAGGGTGCCTATTTGGCAGCCGTTGGTGCCCAGGCCTGGCTTGCAGCACAGGGAAGATGTCTGGGCTGATGGGGGAGGAGAGGCCGGAAGAGTTGGAGACAGGACAGGGGGACACTCCCTCGTCTCCCTGCTCTTTCCTGCTCTTTCCAGAGCCCCTTGGATGGAAGCCCTCACCACACAGGTGGGGTCCCTGATCCTTCTCAGAGCAGGACAGGTGGCTGCTCTGCCCAAGGTGGGACCTGCTGTGGGGGACAGTGCCATCCCCACTGGACACCCTGCTGTAGTAAGAAGTGTTCCCATCTTGGGCACCCTCTGCAAGGCCCTGTGCCCTCTGGAGGCCTCCAGGCCTTCAGTGCCCACCTGAGACTCAGGGGGGGGGGGCAAACGAGGACTGATGAGGAACCAGGGGGCTCCTGTCCAGACTCTGTGCAATTCATGTCTGCTCTCTGCATTTTAAATCTTTATTGTTGTGAGTATTACAGATGTCCCACCCCCTTTTTTCCTCTATAACCTTCCTTCCGCTGGCTTTCTCCCTGCTCTTCCCAAGCCCTCACCACACTACTCTCTGTGTCCATGGGCATGGATATATGCATACAGGTTCTTTGGTTAATCTCTTCCCACCCTCTCCTCTTTGCCTCTGAGATTCCTCAGTATGTTCTGTGTTCCCATGCCTCTGGTTCAATTTTATCCATCACTTTATTTTGTTCCTTAGATTCCACATATAAGTGAGATCATGTGATATTTGCCCGTCTTGATTGGCTCATTTCGCTGAGCATAATGATCTCCGGCATGTTTTGTACACCCCTCTCTATTATTGCTTTTGTTCTGAGAACTTTTAAGCAATGGTTACTTATGCACTAAAATTTTCATTACAAACATTTAGGAATTAAAAGAGGTAATTCAGCCTGAATTACCAAAGATGCTTCAAAGGTCTGTGTTTTGTTTTTTATTTCAGAACCATTTTTTCAGTTTTATTCATAAAATTTCCCCCACACGTAGCTGAAGAATTACTCAAGTTGTACATAAATGCATGTCTGTATATCTGAGATCAAGACATGGATTCTGGGTCCTCAGCTGTTCCATAAAAGAAAGCTTTTATACCCAGATGAGGTAGCTTCCATGGCTCTGAATCCCACAGTGAGCAGAGAGATTGAAATAGCACATAGTTTCCTGCAATGAGAGACAATATTTATTCCCAATCCTGAATTATCAAGGCAAAGCCAAACTGTGTTTCAAAGTGACTCAGAAGTAAAGTCTAAACTCAAAAGGCCCAGGGAGCCTGAAAGAATCCATGAAAGCAGGCAGGACCATTCTCCAGGAGAAAAGGGGTTCATGGAGGGACTGGTAGCAGTTAGGTCATGAGAAAGGGGATAGTAATGGGGACGCTGGGTTTGAGTAGCATCAACACCTCACACAGCCCCACTCCTTTCTGGTTCTCAGGAGCAGCCGACACCATCAGCCCATCACAGAACAACTCAGACCCCAAGAGTGGTGAGTAGGAGACACACTCAGTTATGGGGCTCAGCACAGACGGTCATGTCCTGTCAAGGGTAGAGAGGTGCCTGGGTGGACATCTGGGGTCCAGGGGTGACTTTGTCCTGCCCTGACCTCTGTGACTTCTTTTCCCACAATCCCTAGCCTCCCAGCCCCAAGATTACACCGTGGAGAATTCCATCCGATTGGCCGTGGCTGGATTGGTTCTGGTGGTGCTGGGGGTGCTGCTCTATCAGGCCTGAAACAGTGAAAGACGAACTCATGATACAGCCAGGATGTGAACACAGAGGGAACAATGCATGATTCAGACAGGAGGAGCCTTGGGAGTGAATCTCATGTGCCCAGAAGGTTCTGGAACATAACGTGGGACATATGCTAAGGGACCTGTCTTCGGCTCCATGCAGATGGAGGAGTCATCACTCATGTTCAGGAACAAGGTCTTGACCTTCTGCCATTGAACTGGACTCCTTTCCCTCCCAACCACTGTGAGTCCTGTGCCTGGTTCCTGATTCTCCTCATTTTGGTGAAATTAGCATTTATCCCACGTGGCAGGTACAGGTCCACACCTCCCTACACTTTCATGGAGTACGTTTTCCTTTATTTCTATTTATACGAGCCTTCATGTCTGCATGGAGTCCCCTCTCCTGAGTCTAGAGCACGCCGTCTATTGTAATCAATCTACAAGGTGAACAATCCATCCTGAGAGAAAAACCCACAGGAGGTCCTAATAACCTCTCTGGACTCTACATGCCCTTCACCTGTCCTCGGAGGCCACCTGTGTGCTTTCTGCAGAAACTTCATCCCTTGGTATCAAGACCTGGTTGTTTGAAGGGGTTGCCTGGTCTGCGCTGCCTCTGAAAACCCCAATGTCCAAAACACAGTGCAACACACAGACGGCATGTAACAGTTGTGCACCCTTGAAACCTATGTCCTGTTGTTCACCGATGGCACCTCAATATATTTAATTTTTTAAAAAATTCTCAATCCTGGCATTTAACAATTTCTCTGGTATATATGCTTTCTTCAAGGCCAATGTGAAATGCCCATGTTGTTATTGTAGAAGGACTTGCCAAGAATGGGTCAGCCTCAGGCAGGCCCATAGTTCGTGGGTCTTCAAAATTGTTAAAAAAAACATATATTTCCCCTTGACCTTCCCTTGGCCTCCCCTATCCCAACGGGGCGGGGGGGGGGGGGGGAGAGGAGACACATGTACTACTCTTTGTAACATTTTAAGCAATAAAACAAAATTTATATATATTTCTACTGACTAGAGAGAGGAAAGGAGAGGGAGAGATGAAATCATCAATGATGAGAGAGAATCATTGATATCCTGCATCCTGCAGGCCCCACACTGGGATTCAGCCTGCAACAAGGGCTGGTGTCCTGACCGGGAATTAAACTGTGACCTCCTGGTTCTTATGTCGATGCTCAACCATGGGCCACCCCAGCTGACAGTGTGTGAAATCTTGACTTCATGTAGGAAGGCCTTCACAACAGGGTCCAGGTGATGTTGAGAGCATGTTTATTACAGCTGGGGACATTGAAACACAGGGAGGGTTTAGGGTAGAAGAAGCCACAGTAGAGAGCTTAGGGGGGCTTTGGCTCTCTGGGAACGTTGTAGGAAAAAAGTGACCCAAGGCAGGGTCAGCTCCACTGTGAGCCTCACACTTACCCGTAGACAGATGCCCATGCTGGACTTGCCTGGACCATTGAATCTGTTTCACACACACAGGGTGTGTGGCTCAGTGCTGACCATGGTTTGGATCAATGGGTGGAGACATCCCTGTGCCCATCCCCCATATATGTATGTGGAGGGGCCAACGCTGCTTCCAACTCTCTCTCTGTTCCACATCCCTCCTTGCATTTGAGCACCTGCAGAAGCTTTTCTGACCCCACAGAGCTGAGACCCTCCCCTCTGATGACCCCTTGGGAGTCCCAGGCATCAGGGGCCACTCAGCTTGGACCGATTTTATATGTTGCTGGTGGTTCTGATCTTGGGAACTTTTACTTCTCTTTTATGCATTGACTATGGTACGTAATCCTATATAATAAAAGGGTGATATGCAAATTGACCTTAACATCAGAACAACCAGAACGACAGCTCGACCAGTCACTATGAGGTGCACTGATCACCTCTCGGCCCCTTTCCCCAGCCGGCAGGCTTTGATCACCTTATGGTGAACTGGGAGTGGGTGGCGGCGGGGGGCAGGACCAGCTGCCATCAGCTGGGAAGATGGCCCTGATCGCAGGCCAGGCCTTGGGATTGTACCCATGCACGAATTTCGTGTGTCAGGACTCTAGTTCTGAAATAAGTAGCATTTCTGAGTATTAAGAGCAGATGGAGGCCCTTGGGTGGGCACATCCATTGTCCATGTTGTCTGTGGAGTTAGATACCTTGATTCTCTCATGTTTCCACCCACCCAACTTCATCTGATTTGGGAACAACAGGGACGGACCCCTCCCATGGCCCAGGCACCACAGATCTCACAAGCACTCTGAGGAGTTGAGTTGATAACAACATGTTGCAGATGGGGAAACTGAGGCTAGACATTGAATGGTACTGCTCAAGAGCACAAGGCCCATAGATGATGAAGGAGAATTTACATAAGAATGAACTTTATCACCAACCCTACTGATCATTCACTTTCCCCAAAGCTGTATATCTGAGGGCAGGATCTCAGAATGGGGCACAGCTCTGCCCGAGAAACAGGGCACTTAGGAGGCAGGAGTGAATCATAACCTTGCTCCCGGGAAGGAGAGGGTGGCTGCTGTGGCAACAAAAAGGAGAAGGTCAAGAGGGGCCTGTGAGACACAGAAAGCCCACACTCTGGGGCCAGGAGAAGAGTTGGTTTTCCTTCCCTTATTTCCCTGCATTTGCCTCTGTGCTCATTGTCACAGGGACATCGCCCTGAGCTGCACAGTGAGAGGGTGAGTGTGTCCCTGCTGATCTGAGCTCTGCAGGCCACAGTCACCCACATCTTCCTGAACGTCTCCAGGGCCCAGGTGACACTGTCAATGGTGAGGACCCCAGGGAGGTGTTGATGGTTTTGCTGAGGAGGAAGGAGTCCCTGTGGGGGAGGTACTGTCAGGGAAGAAGGTACCCTGGGTCATGTCTCCTGCAAGTGGTGTCTCAGAAGGCTCTGAGACTATTTTTTGTTTCACCATGAAAATGAGGGCCAAGGTGCTAGATAGAGGTTGTTCCCTTTCATGAGGAACTGATGACGTGACAACCATGAGAGAGGGAGCGCCAGTCTCCCAGTGCCCACACCCTCTGTGCCTGCCCAGATGGCACAATCGCATTCACTTTGCATCAGAGCGAGGAGACACCATGACCTCCACCCTCATCGCAGTGCTTTTCATTGGTGAGATTTCAAGGGAGAGGGGAGCCCTGCTCTGTCAGGACCCCAGGACTCAGGAGCCTCATGGGGAGGAGAGTGCTGCTCAGGATTGAGGGACAAATCTCTCATAGGGGCTCTCTTCCAGGGCTGAGTGTGGACCTCAGAACCCCAGTGCAGTCAGGTGAGTCTCCACAGGAGTCCCAGGTCCCTCTCACTGGGCACAAGGAGTTACAGCCTGTGCATCTGGGGATGGACAACAGTGGTTCCAGGTTAAGGGATGTGGGGCATCTTAGAAATGTGGGGGTGGGTAATGCCTTCTAACCCAGCCTCTGGTTTCCTTCCAGTGCCCCTCCCCAAACCTACCCTCTGGGCTGAGCCAGGTTCTGTGATCCCCTGGGGGAGCCCTGTGACCATCTGTTGTCAGGGGACCCTAGAAGCTGAGGAGTACCTTCTATATAAAGAGGGAACCCCAGTGCCATTGGACAGAGTGAAGCCACTGGAGCCCGGGGACAAGGCCAAGTTCTCCATCACACACATGACAGAGCTACAGGCAGGGAGATATCGCTGTCACTATTACAGCCCTGATGGCAGGTCAGAGCGCAGTGACCCCCTGGAGCTGGTGGTGACAGGTGAGAGGACTCTCAGGAGTCCCAGCCTCAGGCTCTGCCCTCAGGAAGGAGGTCTGCTCTCAGGGTGTGTCCCTCTCACAGCCCAGCCCTGGGGGACGTGAGGGAGGTGTGAGCCCCATTTAACATGCTGCCTCCTCCTCTCCTAGGAGCCTACAGCAAACCCAGCCTCTCAGCCCTGCCCAGTCCTGTGGTGACCTCAGGAGGAAACGTGACCCTCCAGTGTAGCTCAAGGCAGGGATTTGACTGGTTCCTTCTGACTAAGGAAGGAGACCACAGGCTCTACAGGACCCTGGACTCACAGCCACAGCCCAGTGGGCAGTTCCAGGCCCTGTTGCCTGTGGGCCCCGTGACCCCCACACATAGGTGGAAGTTCAGATGCTATGGCTGTTACAGGAATAGGCCCCAGGTGTGGTCACCAGCCAGTGACCCCCTGCAGCTCCTGGTTTCAGGTCAGTACTATTATTGCCCCTTCCATGGACTGAGATACCAGCCAGGTCGTTGGCATCTTTGCTGTGAGGAGAGCCCCATGTGAGAAGGTGGGGTGAGGGGAGCACAAGGGCTCCTGGGCCGGAGTCACAGAGAGAGACAGTGAGACCTGGAGGCCAGGCCAGGAGAAGGAGTTTATGGGAGGAGCAGCCCCTGTAACTCATGTCTGGTCTCCCCAGGTGAGTCTGGGAAGCCCTCCCTCCTGAGCCAGCAGGGCCCCATCGTGGCCTCTGGACAGAACCTGACCCTCCAGTGTTGCTCTGATGTCGGCTATGACAGATTCGCTCTGCACAAGGAGGGGGGACGGGACCTCCCCCAGAGCCTTGTCCTGCATCCCCAGGCTGGGCTCTCTCAGGCCCACTTCCCCCTGGACACTGTGAGCAGCTCCCATGGGGGCAGGTACAGATGCTACGGTGGATACAACCTCTCCTCTGAGTGGTCGGCCCCCAGTGACCCCTTGAACATCCTGGTGGCAGGTGAGGAGCCAGTGGGTTCAGTCAGGGACCCAGAATTTGCACAGGCCCTGCTGCGGGTTTCAGGTGGTGGGGCCAGAATGAAAGTGCAGGGCCCCAGGGAGGGAGATAGACAGAGAGTCAGGGAAGAAGGGGAAACTCGGAGAAACAGAGACAGACAGAAAGGAGGGTCCTCAGAGAGAGGACTGGTGACTCTCAGGACAGAACAAGCTGGGCAATCAGTCCTCATCCTCCTCCCTCTCTCTAGGACAACTGCCTGACAGACCCTCCCTCGCGATGGTCATGCATTCAGGAGCCTGGGTGGCCTCAGGAGTGAACGTGACCCTTCTGTGTCAGTCACAGAGCCCGAGGGACATGTTTCTTCTTTCCAAGGAGGAGGCAGCCGATCCCCCCCTGCGTCTGAGATCAAAGCACCAAGCTCAACAGTTCCAGGCAGAGTTCTCCATGAGTCCTGTGACCTCAGCCCTCGGGGGCACCTACAGGTGCTACAGCTCACGCAGCTCCTTCCCCTTCCTGCTGTCATTGCCCAGTGAGCCCCTAAAGCTCCTGGTTTCAGGTGAGCAGCCTGTCCTGTCCTCTCTGGGCTCCAAGGTCATCTCTGTCTCCGTCCCCATCTAAGTCTGAGATGTGATGGAAGTAGTGGGAGCACTGGGTGGTTCCACAGAGGAGGGTCATCTCCTGAAAGGGTGGACACAGGAAGGGACCTCCCTCCCCTGGGACAGCCCAGCCCTGCAGTCTCAGATAGGCCTGAGGGAGGGCGGGAAGCGGCACTACTCCGGTGATGCTAACAGGAAGTGAGATTTAACTGAGGTGACCAGACAGAGGCCCCGCCCCCTGACTTCTGGTGGCCCCACCTCATACCAAAGCATCGCTGCTCCCAAGAGGACATCCCACAGGCGGGACCCAGGGAAATGGGGCTGAGTGTGTGTGGACTCAGCTCTCCTGGGAGGTGAACTCTGAGAACCTTTCCATCTGAACAAAGGGGCTGCCTGCCATGACCTGCAGGGGCACTTTCATTTCTGACTTCCTGGGGCACCTGACACCTGGCTTGTCCTAGACCTGCTCCGGGTGCGGCCTCTCTGGGCCTGTCCTGCTGCTCCCAGTCACTGTGGCCTTGTAGGAATTGAAAAGCTGAGGGGGTCAGGGGGCAGGTACACTGATTACCCACCAGACCTGGGGGCTCAGCTCAGCAAGAGGAGCCACCATGTTATGGAGCCGCCAAAGATTTGAAAACTCCCACTTAGCATCTCAGCTCCTCCTGGCTCCACACAGAATCTGTGGGGTTTTCCACTAAAAGCCAGCAGCCCTGCATAGTTAGCTTGGTCCCCAGGTCCCTAAGCAGGTGGACAGTGTGTGGAGTGGGAGATGGAGAGGGTCAGCCTTTGGTGCCCAGGCCTGGCTTGTAGCACAGGGAAGATGGCTTTGCTGATGGGGGAGGAGAGGCCGGGAGAGGTAGAGAGAGAACAGGAAACACTCCCTCAGCGGCTCATTTCCTGAGCCCCTTAGATGGAAGCCCTCACCACATAGGTGGGACCTGAGCTTCTCAGAGCAGGACAGTGCCTGCTCTGGCCAAAGTGGGAACTGCTGTGGGTGACGGTGCCGTACCCACTGGACATCCTGCTGTAATGAGAAGTGTTCCCACCTGTGGGCACCACTCTGCATGGCCCTGTGTTCAACTGGAGGCCTCCAGGCCCTCAGTGCTCACCTGAGACTCAGGGGAACCATAGACACCTCGTGAGGAATCAGGGGGATCCAGCCCAGACTCTGAAATTCATGGCTGTTCTCTGCATTTCAATCTGTATTGTTGAGAATATCCCAGATGTCCCCCCTGCTTTTCTCCTCTATAACCCTCCCCCAGCTGGCTCCCTCCCAGCCCTTCCTATGCCCTCACTGCACTATTTTCTGTGTCCATGGGCATGGATATATGCATACAAGTTCTTTGGTTAATCTCTTCCCACCCTCTCCTCTTTACCTCTGAGATTCCTCAGTCTGTTCCGTGTTCCCATGCCTTGGGTTTGATTTTATCCATCACTTTATTTTGTTCCTTAGATTCCATGTATAAGTGAGGTCAGGTGATATTTGTCCTTCTTGATTGGCTCATTTCGCTGAGCATAATGATCTCAGCATGTTTTGCACACACCTCTCCCTCTATTATTGCTTTTGTCCTGAGAACTTTTAAATGATGGTTACTTACACATTAAAATCTTAGTTACAATCATTTAAGAATTAAAAGACGTAATTCAACTCGAATTACCAAAGATGCTTCAAAGGTGCTGTGTTTTGTTTTTTACTTCAGAACCATTTTTTTTCTCAGTTTTATTCATATAATTTCCCCAACACAGAGCTGAAGAATTGCTCAAGTTCTACATAAATCCATGTCTGTATATCTGAGATCAACTCATGGTCCTGGGTCCTCACTGTTGCATAAATATAAGCTTTTATACCCAGATGAGGTAGCTTCCATGGCTCTGAATCCCCAAGTGAGCAGAGAGATTGAAATAATACATTTTTTTCTGCAACAAGAGACCATAATTCTTCCCAATCCTGAATTATCAAAGCAAAGCCAAACTGTGTTTCAAAGTGACTCAGAAGAAAAGTCTAAATTTGAAAGGCCCAGGGAGACAGAAAGAATCCATGAAAGAAGCCGGGACCCTTCTCCATCAGAGAAAGGGATTGTGGAGGAACTGGTAGCAGTTAGGTCATGAGCTGTGGGGAGGCTTGGCTTGAGTGGCATCAACTCCTCACATAGCCCCACTCCTTTCTGGTTCTCAGGAGCAGCCGACACCATCAGCCCCTCACAGAACAACTCATACCCCAAGAGTGGTGAGTAGGAGACACTGTCTGTTATGGGCTCAGCACAGACAGTCATGACCTGTCAAGGGGAGGTGGGTGCCCTGGGTGAGTTTGTCCTGCCCTGACCTCTGTGACCTGTTTTCCCACAATCCCTAGCCTCTGACCCACAAGACTACACTGTGGAGAATTCCATCCGGTTGGCCGTGGCTGGATTGGTCCTGGTGCTGCTGGGGGTGCTGCTCTATCAGGCCTGAAACAGCCAGAGAAGGACCCAGGATACAGACAGGACGTGAACACAGAGGGAACTATTCCCTCTTCAGAGAGGGGGAGCCTTGGAAGTGAATCTCATGTGCCCAGAAGGTTCTGGAAGATAACGTGGGACATATGCTGAGGGACCTGTCTGCGGCTCCTTGCAGGTGGAGGAGTCATTGCTCATGTGCAGGGACTAGGTCTGGACCTTCTTCCCTTGAACTGTGGTCCTTTCCCTCCCGACCACTGTGAGTCCTGTGACTGGTTCCTGACTTTCCTCATTTTGGTGAAATTTGCATTAATTCCACTTGGCAGGAACAGGTCCACACCTCCATACACTTTCATGGAATGTTTTCCTTTATTTCTAACCACATGAACCTTGATGTCTGTATGAAGTCCCCATCTCCTGAGTCCAGAGAATGCTCTCTATTGTAATCTACAAGGGGCACAATTCATCCTGTAAGAGATAAACCCACAGGAGGCCCTAACGCCCTCTCTGGACTCCACACGCCCTTCCCTGGCCATCGGATGCCACCTGTGTGCTTTCTGCAGCAACCTCACTCATTGGAATCAAGACCTGGTGGTTTGAAGGGGTCA